TGATTCGTCCTGTATGCAGAATTAGTAGTTTCATATTTAAACTAATAAATTAAGCTGGCGATTTTCCAACAAAAACCTTCCAGCCATAGCAAAAAGTTTAATAAACTTTGTACAAGCGTAAAGATAATGTCACGTTACCTGGAATTCTAACTCCGGTCCAATCCGTCAAAACCGGTCCTGGGCTTTAACGACTCCCATAATTAATGGTAGCGTTTCTTTCCATCAATTAATTAACAAAGATATAGCATCAACACGATCTTTATCTCATATCTTCTGTGCATCGCCGGCAAAGCCCAAAAGACAACTTAAATATCTCTCTGGACAAACTTCTACCTTGTTGTAACATTACGAAATTGTGTAGTACGTGATGCCATATCGGACGTTGTGCATGTTTAGCGGTTTTTTTTCTCTTCGGGATGCGAATGCATGCTTAGACGGGCACAACGACAATTGTGAATGAGAGTTTTTCGCCGTTCATGTCGTGTGTGGCATTTTTGGGTTGTCGTTTGCTTAAGAAGCCCAAGATAATACATATATTTGAAGGTTTTACAGCACGACTTCGCACGGGTGCAATTCACAGACATAATTCATAGGGGTACATAGTTCACGGCTTTTTTTGCCCGTCGTTACTTTCACAGGCTTTAAAATTTTTCAAAATTAATACAACATTCATGTTATTCGCTGATAAAATAGCCTTCGACGGTAGTTTTCAAGTTCATCCATTACAAACAACCAATTAACGAATTTTCTTTCACTAATTAACGTATAGCCGAAAAGTAAACGGTATTGTGCACTCTTAAAGTTGGCGGCACTCTCAAAGGCCAAAAAACTAACAATAGAAATGAATAGGCAGCGAAATAGTCCACGTGTACTGCAGAGATTGCGGTTCGTATTGTATAATTTTTACTAACCGAGGTTTATAATGGGCTGAAGAGTCATAAAATTAAATTTGAAGTCAAGTTACGATGACGAATAGAAATCGGGAACGGGAAGATGGTTATCGCCGTCGTGTTCAGTTCAGGAACTGATCGCGATTTGTGTGCTGAAATTCGATATTGGTGCAGTTATAATATCTTAAAATTTTTTGTTAACTGTGGCGTCCTTGGACAAGTACGAATAGTAATAACAAGTGTACGAATAGTAATAACAAGTGTGACAATAACGCAGACTTTTTTTCAGTGTTGTGATTCCTATAGCGATGGTGAACAATGCCAAAAAGAGATAAGTGAATAAAGAGTGAATAAGATTCGGATGCATTTGAATATTAAAACGCAGAGAGTATGTTTCAATGTATTTGAGAATCTACATCTCATGTTTGGTTTCGAGGGAAACAAAGTATTACAAGCAACATCAGATTTGGCCGAAATTCCTTTTTCAACTGTACGTAAAATAGTCAAAAACAAACCTTATGAACGCAAGCCGTGGGATTACCAAAACCTTTAGATGTTCATCTAATAAAATCATTAAAAAAAACAATATACGACTTTCACAAAAGCAATGAGATTCCTACAACTGAAAGCATAATAAAGAAATTGAATACTTCCGGCCATAACGTGAGCTGCTGTGACAAAACTCTTCAGAATTGGATAAAGAAACTAGGATTTAGATTTAAAATATTCTCTTTCTAGTGAGTACTAGGATGGGTATAGGACGATTTCTACGAATCAAATAAAATGAATTGAGTAGCACTTTTTTCACAAAACGTTCATAAAACTGCAACGAGTTTTACGAATCCGTTTACAATTAATTCAAAATATTTTTTGTTTCTAAGAATTTATTAGAAGTGGATGGCGTTTAACATGAAATTTCGATAAAATGTTGATTTGTTTTTGAAATTTTTCCTCACATTGTTTGTATGATTTGTAAATATGCTCTGAAAGAGACCTTAGTGCCATAATATATTAGCATTCTTATGAAATGTTATCTACAATTCCAGAAACTTTCGATCCAATCAGTGCAGTCCATCCTGGGATTAACTGGGTTCTATGACCCGCAATCCGTCACCCGAGATCATTTATCAATTTACTTAAAAATCCTCTACGAAGCCCAACATGTATCGCATTGTCATCCATTCGGATCACGTGTGCAGACGCGTTAATCAACCCGGCGACGATAAAAACAAAAGCCGCACGTTATAAGAACAAGTCTAATATTCATTTAAGCACGCAATTGTTTTATATTTGGTAAGTGGGCGTGGCCCCCGGACCGTCCTCATTGGCCGCACAATTGACAATAGTGACAGTTGAAGTTATTTCATGAATGGCAAACGATGAATTTCAAATTATCGAGTCGCCATTGCGCTTGTTTTTGTCCAGTTGACGGCCTACTGCAGTGCGAAGAAGTAGCGAAAGAACGAGCGCTCGAATCGCTGAACCGTGATGATGGATGGATCAGATACAAAACGGGTAATGGTGAATGAATTAACTTGTTAGAAGGTGGATTCTTAGCGGTGCTCGTGAAAAAATGTAGCAGTCGAGAATTCAGAGGTTCTTCATTTCTGTCTGGCGCTTGATTAGAATTGCTGATTTAGCGGAATTTGATGCACGTGAGAAAATCGGAGGAGGTGAATTTTAATTCGACTTCTGTGCTGCCTATGAAATGGGTGTACAAAAACTGGATGAGGTTATTTAGATTTCGATTACTGTAGTTCAAACGAGATTGAGAAATCAATTGAAAAAAGACAAAAAAGAAGTCTGCTTGGCCACCAACACACACATTGAATTATAAAAATTTACTCTCTTGTAATAGACTCAACCTCAACAAACAAATTTAAGAATTTACTACAAGTCATCTCTCCCAGAGTGTCCGGGAAAAACGGACTTAGTATTGGCCAGAACTTACCAGAGTGGTTCCAGAAGTCCACGGCCTGACTTAGAGATGGCGGTAGTTGTTAGAAAAACATCACTGTATTGGAAAGTACACAATCTATAAAGCATATGTTTCAAGTTTGAAGACGCTACGTTGTTCAGTATTTATTTGGCAGCCATCAATAGCGAACGTTGAAAATGGAGAAAATTGGTCATCGTTAGGCCTGTTAGACATCGTAGTTCATCCCTACAGGATTATCGGAAAGGATAAGAAGAATTGGATCCAAGTACAACATCAGAACCTGCTTCAGATCCGGTAACACTATCCGTAGCAGCCTCACGAAAACCAGGCCACAAAACGCGGACTGCGATTCCAAGAATTGCATTTACCGAATACCCTGTGAGCACGGAAAATCCTATATCGGTGAAACTAAGAAGTCATTGAATGTTCGCATTGCCGAACACAAGAAACACACAGCGAGGGGAAACTAGCAAATCAGAAATAGCAGAGCATGTTAGAACCCATCAACATAACATCGAATGGTCCCAAGCTAAGATCATACACAAAGAGGAACATTGGTTAAGGAGGAAATTCAAAGAAGCCGCATACATGTCATCCAACAATGTATTCAGCCAAGCTAGCGTAGAGATACACAACATATGGAAACCCATAATCATGCGAAAAATGGCCAACTCCCGCCAAACAGTCATCTTCCACTAAACCAGTGAAGCGAAAAAAGGAAAGCAGAGACAAGTGAAAGTACTCAAACATGTAGGTATTATGAAGAAAAACAACTACAATAAAAACGTACGAGAGAAATTGAGGAATGTAGCAGTGATAAAAATGCCGTTTTTTCCACATTCATTAACACCAAAAATATCGAGTACATATTCTTCCTCTTTTTATAACTATTCAAGTAAATACAACAAATTAGGTATCATTGGAAAGAGAATGTTGTGCCCTTTCAAATGATATATCACTCGACCCCACTTTACATTTAAAATTTTAGGGTTGTTACTCACCCTCGCTAGGGGGTTGAAGGCACAGGTAGAAAAATACATCTAAAATGTGTCCCACTCAAAAGCAAAATTGACCTGTCCGATCATTTTTGCGTTAAGTTACAAAAAAAGGAGAAAAGCAAGGTGCATACTTTTCGTTGGACCACTCGATATAATATCAGACAATGGAAGTCCAAACTAATGAAATTCATCTTGAAAAAATGGCTCAGTAGTCAAAGATTCTACAACGATGCAGAAGTGATTTCGGCAGTTAATGACTATTTTAAGGAGCAAGACAGTTTTTATTGTAAAACCAGTATGGAATTCATTGAACGTCCAGAATTGTTGTGTTTTCTTTGTTGGACCGGGAACTTCTGGAGGCATCCACGTATTTCGACTGTTTTTCCCCTCTTATGTCTACAATTTTGTAGTTTCAGTGTTTTTTTCATTTGTCCGCATTTTGAAAACCGAATTCAGTAGGTGCACCCACAGTTGACGAATGTCTATGAGATGAGTTTCCAAGCAGTTTTCTCCACAGCCCACACAGTCACATTCTTCATTTCCTTCACCATCATCATCTGCTGTTTCTTTGTCCTTCTCAGCTATATTTTCTTTGGCCCTGGTCTCTTTTTCTTATTCTGTTAGTCCTTTTTTCCTTTTTTCTGCATCTTTTTTCTTTTCTCAGCATTTTCGCATCTTCTTTAGATTTTCTCAGTTTAATATGATACAACAAACACCATGAAAAGCATGATATATAAAGATGATGATATCTACAAAAAAATTAAAGCGAAAAAGGTGAAATTGTTGAAGAAACAGTAAAGATAAATCCAAAACGAAGCATTTTATCCAAACTCCAGAACTACAACCCTCTGAAGACTCCAATTTGGTTGGTAATGTTTATGAAAACATAGTATAATGAAAAAATGAGACAACAAAAGCTTCATTTGTGAATAGAAAACCAACTTGGAGAAGAACTCACTGCGTGAAAGACGGAACTGCTGCGTGAAGGACTAGTCATATATTCACTTCACGCCAAATTGAGAAATAAAACAAGAGCAAGAAAAAACATGTCACGGAGGCTATAAACTTTAGGTATAAATTTTTCTGTGTAAATATAAAAATTATCTGTCATTCATACCCACTTTCAAAATCGCCATTCTGTATATGAGAATATAAATCAGAGGCTTCGCTGACTGATACAACAGTTATCTGACGTTCCTGAAGCATCTGTCAAATTAATTTTATATAGAAGTGCATATGTCTATTGCGAAGCATCAAATCGTGTTGTCTCAAGTGTGCTAAGTTTCCTCTTACATTAGTTTAACAAATAGAAGATATCCATATGACTACAGCAGCCAAAATCCCACCCATAACAATGAGCAAGTTGTACGTGGGAAACCTACCCAACGAAACCAGTGAAAACTCCCTGAGGCAGCTGTTCCTCGAGCAGAACTTGGCCTGTACCAACATTCTAGTCAAACGTGGAGGGTACGCTTTCGTGGACTGCCCGGACCAGTCCTCTGCGGATAGAGCCATCGACAAACTGAACGGGGTCAATTTCAAGGGATCCGTACTGGTGGTGGAGCCTTCCGTTGCTTCGGGAAGGAAAAAGGTGCACTCTGCTTTTCCGGAGCCTTCTTCCATTTCTGTTGGGGGAACGTGGATGCGAGCGGGTGCTTCCGGTCGCTAAGAAAAGCTCATAAACATTCGGGAAAAATGAATGTATAGTAATAATGTTGTAAGTCTCAGTAGTAGTCATGTGTGTCTTTTCCGCAAAATAATCTTTCATAAATCTGCTAAATCATCATGAGTTATTCATTTTATTGTAAGAAGGTATTTTTCATCAGCAAAAATATTTTATACTGAAAAATACAAGGAATGATTTAAGAAAGGAAGATCGAAACTAGTCACAGTAAACTAGCTGGTAAATATTACAAAGTTCCACATTTTCTTGGTAAGTAAAGAAATCTTTCCCTGATAGGAAGAGACTGGAAAAATCTTTGAAATTTATTGAAGAGTTTGCATTTATTCAATTTATTAGTTAATATGATAATACCTAGATAATATATTTTTCTCCAGTTTGCCCGTCCATGAAATGTCGAGTCAGATAAGTTAACGGCCTTTGTCAAAATTAATTAAGCTACCACACATTTTGCTTTTTGAAAATGGTATATTCTTTTTTGTTTCACAACTGTACCCATATCAGTAACAACATTCAGTCGTTAATATTTTTTATCAACTTTCTGGGAACCCTAATGTTCAAAATTTCAGTTCTAGATTCAAATATACACTGAAACAAACTGTTTTTGGTAAAAGACTCAATCTAATTAAAGGCATTACTCCTGATGCCATACGAATACAAGATTCTGTTTGTTTGAAGGTGGTTGACGATGTTTCGTGGAGTATTTCATCAGTTCGGAATTCCATTGTCTAATATAAAATAAATTGATTTGAAAACCCTGAAAAAACAATTAAAAAATTAATGAGATTGACCGATAATCAGAATTTTATTAAACAAAAAACTGAAATTATAAAGAAATAACATACAAGCAAACACCAAACAAATAAAAATTGAAATATTAGTAAATGATCGAAACTAGTCACAGTAAACTAGCTGGTAAATATTACAAAGTTCCACATTTTCTTGGTAAGTAAAGAAATCTTTCCCTGATAGGAAGAGACTCTGATGTAGGGAAGTACAAGCACTGGTTGTGGTGGCTTCTCTTCCTTGTGAAGTTTTTGCTGTCTTCTAGCTAAGGCCTGTTCTACCATAACTCTGGAGTAACCATTCAGCTGTACGTCATTTTTGAAGGAACTGGGCATCATCAAAAATGACCTAAAACCTACAACCTACAGCCAACCACACTAAATAAATACGCTGGTATTTTTTCCCATTCCCCACTTAATAATCAGGCTTAATGATCTTGGAGTAAACTCCTCATCCTGAGCCTTCTTTGGTTTTTGAGCCATCTGTATATATGCATATTGCATTTGTAGCATCTGAAGTCCGATCAAATATCCATGTTTTCTTCAATTATTGTGACGTAGTGCATCAGAAATTCTTGTCACATGGTCGTATGGTCAATAAGGAGTATTGAAGTTAAGCGAATTAATCTTATTACAAATAAAATATAACTTTCACCGTCTGTCCTCAAACATATGTTTCTTTTTTAGATAATAAGACCGATGACAAATTGTCCGTGTGCGCTGCTAAAAATACTTCAACGCTCATTTGCGACTCACCGAAAACGGTCGGAAAATTCATAATTATCAATTATTCTCAGTCGATTGCACGGAGAACCACCAGCTTCGATTCAACAGAATAAAGAGGTCAACCTCACGCATATATTAATCCAAGTACATGGCTCATTACCGCATTCTTCAGCTTTCTAGATTAAGTTATTCCGCAACCTACCCGTATAATTTTAAAATTACATATGCTTCGTTTACAAGGAAAATTCGGTCAGTATAAACACAGTCCTTTCGCCTTTTAGAATTGCTAATTTCTGACGTTGAAAAGGTCTGGCAGAACGCTGCATACACGGCGGTTTATCGCTTACCCCTTCGGTTGAATCAGGTGCTGTGTAAACACAGCATCATGCATTTGAGCAAAGAAATAACAAATTGATGCCGTCGTACATTTTGATGGTCTTCAACTTCAACTAATCTCCTATAATGAATGAAAAATGGACAACTAGCCAGTAGGTTTTGCTGTAGAATAATCCAATATTTGAAATGTGAAAGAATTGGCCGACATTTCATGAAAATCCATAACGTATTCAAGTAACAATTTAGTGTAAGATTTCCACTGAACAGTTTACACAACCTCAACACGTGTTTTGCTATAGGTACAATGTATATCTGCAACTGAAAAACTAAAGGACGAACTAACATCAGGCCCAGATATGATCCCATCATTTTTGCAAGAGCAGGAGCATTGGCAAGACCTTTAACGAGAATTCATGTATGATATCTGGAACATTTCCAGATATTTGGAAATTAGCTAAAGTATGTCCTGTATACAAAAATGGTGAAAAATCATATACAGTGTAACTCACGGTCGATGGTAGGTTAGACGTTTCTGGAAAACGCAAAGCATGATTTTTCTGAAAATTTCACTTCTTACATTTCCTGACCTGTTCTATTGATCTGAAATATTTTCAGCATTGTGGCGTTGCCACTTCTATAAAAAAAGTCCTAGCAATTATATTTTTTTAAATGGAACACCCCGTATATTAATACATTTTTGGTATCGCTCTAGTATTTTAATACTTTTTTGTTGATAATTAAAATTGACATTATTTTTTACACAGACAGCATATATAACTTTAAAATTCATATACAAGCCGTTTTGATAAGAACGGAGGAAAACAAGTGATTAACCAAGTCACCCAGACTTCACCCCTATTGACTTTTCTGATTCTCTTGTGTCCATTCTGATCTACAGATCTACTTATTTACTGATTGTTATCAAAAGTTTGCAACTATACACTAACAAAAAAGCAGAATCCCCCTATAATCAACCCAGAAAATCCCCTCATTTCAATAATTACCAGGTATGTAATTGAGTGTAAATTATTCTACAGGATGTGTGTTTATATCTGCGCCGCAAGGTTGTCTTGACTTGATGAATAAAATAAAATAATATACGTTTCCGAAGTATAAACGCATATACGCCGATAGTATCTTGCATATTATAAAAGATTCATAGTGCAAACCGTGCACATGAAAAAGTGAATGGCATGCATCACGAAACATTAATATTAAATTGATTAATTATAATTATCAACTCACCTATCTCATTATCACGCATTCGGAATCATTATTCAAAGCGAGGAAAAAATTTAGACGGAAAATTGAAAAATTACCGCAAAAAAAATTTAATTGATTTTGATGTGTAGTTGTCTAATATCCATTTATTCTAAACTAACGTCTTATTAGGTGACCGATTGCTGAGTTGCTGAAAAAAAGATTATACCGGAAACTTATTGAAATCATGAAACTTCCAGACTGTACAGGAATTTGTTCTGTGCTCCATAATTTTGAAAGGGATTACTTAAGCGCCCTCAAACTTTCTTCAGCAAAGGCACATGATATTGCAGACGGTCGCTCAAACTCAAACTAACAACGCACTCCAAAATCCTCTTGGTCCATACAGCTGACGGTCGTTTCAAGGTCGAATCTTTGACTCTTCGAAAGGGCCGCGTGAATCAATGAAGGTCGTTCAAGGTCAAACCCAAAACACCAACTTAAAGTCACCTTACCTGCGCCGTGTTACGTAGGTCATTGTCGTCCAAGGTCAAACTCAAAACTCTCCCTCAAATTTCAAAAACTACAGCTCACGATTTGATATCTACAAAGTTTATTTGAAAAATATATCACAACATGTTTCGCTAGCACAGTAGCTTTCTCAAGTGATTTGAATCTCCCCCAAAGTCACCTTGGGTACGACTTGCGACGTATGTAGAGGTCATTTCCATGGTTGGAAGTGGCGGGTGGAGGTTTCGAAATCGGCATAAACCAACTATTAACCTACTATATGATAACTATTATGATGTGAATCGAATTCCGATAAATTTATTATCGTTATTCATTATGAATTCACCAATTACCGACTGTTTTTCTTTCAAACATGAATTGAAACTGATTTTCTTCTTTAAATCGAATGAACAAACATTATACCAATGGGGAGAAAATATGTGGAAATACGCCTGGAAAACTGCAAGAATTAGCATACTACATATCGAACTCATTACGTATGCGATGCATACTTCAGTAGTACAAGTTGCACAGATTAAAATTCATTTCATTTCATAAATTATGAAAATATTTCAAGATTTAAATAGCGATATTATTCTTCGCGTATTTGTTGCCAGCAAAATACAAGTTGTTCGCCGAGAAGTGATAGAAGAAGCATGAGAGAATTGTGTTGGACGAACCTAGTAGGTAGTCCAACAATGATAATAATAATAGATATTACGATCTGTATTTGGTTCACGGACTGACAAAGAAAATAACTTTTCACAAACGGAAAAATTTAAAAAAGTACCGAATAAATGTAACTGATACAGGCTCAAGTAAACCTACTTTTGTCATTCACTTCTTAAATAATTTTTCTGAATAAAAACACTGAGGTATAACAGTTGTGACTATTTTGACAATTAGCTGAAATTGATTAAAAAATGAATTGCAAGATCATGAATCTGTTTATATAGTCCTATAAGGAATTTTAAAATGTTTAAATTGCTGCTAATCTACTGTCTTTTTAGTCCAGATGATTTATGAAAATTTGTAACAAGTCGTTGGTTTGTGAGGAATTTGTAACCATCCGTTGGTTTGGGAAAAATTTGAAGCCAGTCGTTGGTTTGTGGGATATTTGTAACCCTTTATTGTTTTGTGGAAAATTTGTAACCATTCGTTGGTTTGTAGAGAATTTGTAACCATTCATTTATTTACAGAAAATTTGTAACCACTCTTTGGTTTGTAGGGGGAATTTGAGGCTATAGGTTTGTGCGCGGGACATTTGTAATCAGTCGTTGGTTAGTGGTACATTTTGTAACCATTTGTTGGTTTGTGCGACGTTTGTAACCATTCGTTGGTTTGTGGAAAAGTTGTAACCGTTCGTTGGTTTGGAGGAAATTTGTGACCATTCGTTGGTATGTGGGATATTTGTAACCCTTCATTGGTTTCTGGGAAATTTGTAACCATTCGTTGGTTTGTGCAAAATTTGTAAGCGTTCATTTATTTGCAGGAAATTTGTAACCACTCTTTGGTTTGTAGGGCGAGTTTGTGACCATACTTTTGTAT